GAAGTGGTATCTGCGAGGATATTCAGGACAGACCAGCTCAGCAATGAATGGAAGGACAGCCTACAACATGCACAGCAGGAAGATTCGGACATTAAGCCGATTCTGGAATGGATGAAGGCCAGTGCTCCTAAGCCCAAGTGGAGCGACGTCTCAGAAATGAGTTCGACCACGAAAAGCTATTGGGCCCAATGGGACAGCTTGCTGATTCAGGATGGAGTCCTGTGCCGTAAATGGGAAAATGGTCGGGGAAACAGGTGTCATTTGCAAATGGTATTCCCTAAGGCTAAAGTGCCGGATGTTCTACAGCTGTACCATAGTGGTTGTTCAGGAGGCCACCTGGGAGTTAAACGAACTCTGCTGAAGATCCGAGAACGGTTTTACTGGGTCCACTGTCGTGACGATGTCGAGGACTGGTGCCGCAAATGTACAGTTGTGCGGCTGTAAAGGGAACTCAAATTCGTAGTAGAGGCGCATTGAAATTGTACAATGTTGCTGCACCATGGGAGAGGATAGCCATTGATGTTGTGGGGCCGTTTCCAGAAACTGAAAGTGGTAACAAGTATTTCATGGTTGTGATGGATTACTTCACTAAGTGGCCAGAAGTCTTCGCCATTCCAAATCAAGAAGCTTCAACAGTTGCAGATAAACTAGTTCATGAAGTCTTCTGTCGTTTTGGAGTACCTTTAGAGATTCACAGCGATCAAGGAAGGAATTTTGAGTCTCAAATATTCCAGGAAACTTGCCGAGTTATGAGTACTCAGAAAACACGAACAACTTCTTACCACCCACAATCTGATGGAATGGTAGAAAGATTTAATCAGACATTGGAGAGGTACCTAGCAAAAGTTGTGGAAAAACGGCAACGAGACTGGGACAGGCATATACAACTGTTTTTGTTGTCATATCGAAGCGCTGTTCACGAAAGTACATCAGTGACACCAGCTTTCGCAAACTTTGGGAGAGAATTGCGGCTGCCTGCAGACCTGATCACCGGAATACCACCTGATGCTCCACGCAGTATAACCGATTATGCAAATGACTTGCGGAACAAAATGAATGACATTTATGAGCGCGTCAGACAGACGGGCCAGCAAACGTCTGAGAAGATGAAAACACGGTATGACCGCAAAATGAACAACAAGGGGTTTGATGAAGGTTCACTAGTGTGGTTACACAATCCAGTTCGCAGCAAAGGGAAATCTCCTAAGCTTCAAGCTAAATGGGACGGACCGTACCGGATTGTGACAAGGATCAATGACGTAACCTACCGGATACAGAATGGTGCCAGAGGTACTCCTAAGATTGTCCATGTGGATCGACTGGCGCGTTATTATGGGGCCAATAATGCTCGGGACGAGCATGTCTTAGGAGGGGGCAGTGTTACGCGCCACTATTAATGTCTTCTACATGGCAACACTAGTTACACTAGCGCCCTCTAGTGTCTAGTAAAAGTAAGTGTTGCGCGCCACTATTAATGTCTTGTATATGGCAACACTAGTTACACTAGCGCCCTCTAGTGTCGAGTAGCAAAACTAGGAGAGTCGAGATCCTTCCAGAAATTTCGGGACCGATATGTACTCGAACATTCTAGATGTCGCTACAGTAGAAGGTTCTGGAAACTATCTGAGGCCCTATATAAGGCCGGTATAGACCACGACCGGAGTAGTATTGAATTGGCGATACAAGAGAATACTTCGAAGCGAAATAACGGCGAACTGTGTTTTATTATTAGTGTGATTTTAGATTGTAATTAGTGTTGTGTAATTAAAGTGTCAATTTTGGTAATTCAATCGGCAGTTTTTAATTGTCTCGAACCCCAAACTCGTAACAGTATCTATCTATCTGCGCAGGACAAGATTATAGTGCATGAAAGTGAGGGAGAGAGTAAGCACAGGTGCACTCTATTCCTTCACTCTTATCGTGCGGTGGGACGGCAATCTGGCAACCGGAGAGAAATCAGTCTCAAGACTAACACTGCAGTTATGTGTATATCTGTAGAATATTTGTTAGTGCTAGAAAATAATTTAAAATTAAAAATATTGTACAACCTACTTCAATATAAATTATTAAAAATAACCCAAAAACTATTGGTCAGACCTTGATCAAATTTATATGGGACCACATGAAAATCACCAGCTTTCAAATGAAAAAAGAATCATCGAAATACACACATAAAAAAGGAAAAAAAATAACATACAGTCGAATTGAGAACCGTCTCCTTTTTGAAGTCGGTAGAAAATTAGTGGCAGTAGAAAATTTAATATACTTAGGTTAAAAACTAGACGTGAAGACAATAGTTATACGTTTAAAGTTAGTTCAACACGCGCGGTTTAATTACAACCTATTGCGCAATTATTAGTACCGTAGTGTCTATCTAGCACTAATATACGTGGTAGAGCCACGCTGCAGCTATAGTATGGTTGCAGCACGAATAGATCGGCTCGGCCGGGTTAGGAATGCGGGGCACGCTCTAAAAATAGCAGCTTAATGTTGCTGTGTTTCGTATGTTGAGTGTAGAGAACCAGAGACCCTTTTTACTGAAAATGAGGGATTCCATCTTAGTGCTCAGGGGTGGCAACGCATCTGCATTTTGATTGTTAATTGAGCATGAATGTAGATGTCTATAGGCCATAGCATCCACTTACCATTAGGTGGACTGTGTGTTCGTTTGTCATTCACATCTATAACTTTTTTTGACTATAACAGTAATTGTACCACCGATCACCTTTAATAAACACATATCGCCGTGATAATGAAAACGTTTTCTTACAAATTAGTTTTAAATAGTCGAAAACGTTTGCCGTTCACAAAACAAAGAACTAGTCTTCCCGTCCTCTCCCAGTCGACTACAGGAGTTAGGGATAATTGAGCGCAACTTAGTTAGCATTGTAAGAATATCCACTATCATCATCTAATCATCATATATCAACACCCATATCGTCCTGTGGATTGGGGCAGGATAGGAAGCTGGTATTTTGACAATTCGTTCGGGACCAGCTACCAGTTTCCAGTTTTAACTCAACAAAGGAAGTAAAAGGGAAAAGTGATAGGGAAAAAAGTAAATCAGTGAAATTTTCAATGTCGCACTTCCAAAGGGGGCTTTATGAAGAATAACCGAAATTTTATTTTCGTCACAATCAGCGTCAAACCCAAGAAGATACAGTCCACTGATGACTAACGTCATGACCGGGACCATTGCATAGGGACTCGTAATCTTAGTCGTCTAACCTTTCTTTTGAGAAAGAACGGACAGGCTCTGAGTGGCACACCTACTCTGGGTCACGCCCACCTCGTTGTTCCCGAACCAACGTGGTGTGGTATTAGGATCTATGAATAGAAGGTCACTAACTAGTTGATCTCTGCTGCAGGACGGGCTATGAGGAGCCGTCTTTCCTTTTCAATTGGTTATCATTAAGCAACAGAGGGAAACAGGAGATGGCCCTGCTTGCCAAGCATGGCACGTATGGTGAAATCCTCCTTATAAAGCAATCTATGGGGGAGGCCTATGTTCAGCAGTGGACTTTTATATGCTGTAAATGGGCTGCCTCATTATAAATGAAAGTAGACGCGATTGCTAATCATGAGATCCCGAGTTCAAATCCCGGTCGGGCCAAAATTAGTTATTGGGTTTTTCTGTTGAGAACTTCTCAGTAGCAGCCTGGAGTCAGGAAGTTGGCGGTGGTTCATCCCCTTGCCTCGGAAAAGCACGTAAAGCCTAATCTCTCCGGTCGTGTCGGATTACTGTCCCATCGGACTACTAGAGTGAGGGAATAGAGAGTGCAGCTGTGCTTGCGCATACACTCGCACACTATATTTTGTCCTGCTCAGATGGCTAGTCTACGTCGAGAGACCGTCAGGTAACATACATAGAAAGTGTATGGGTATATTGGCAGAGCCCGTCTCGTAGCATAAATTGAAAGTGTATGGGTATATTGGCAGAGCCCGTCTCGTAGCATAATTTGAAAGTGTATGGGTATATTGGCAGAGCCCGTCTCGTAGCATAAATTGAAAGTGTATGGGTATATTGGCAGAGCCCGTCTCGTAGCATAAATTGAAAGTGTATGGGTATATTGGCAGAGCCCGTCTCATAGCATAATTTGAAAGTGTATGGGTATATTGGCAGAGCCCGTCTCGTCGCATAAATTGAAAGTGTATGGGTATATTGGCAGAGCCCGTTTCGTAGCATAAATTGAAAGTGTATGGGTATATTGGCAGAGCCCGTCTCGTAGCATACATAGAAAGTTTACGGGTATATTGGCAGAGCCCGTGTCGTTGCATACATCGAAAGTGTATGGGTATATTGGCAGAGCCTGTCTCTTAGCATACATAGAAAGTGTACGGGTATATTGGCAGAGCCCGTCTAGTAGCATACATCGAAAGTGTATGGGTATATTGTCAGAGCCCATATCGTAGCATACATAGAAAGTGTATGGGTATATTGGCAGAGCCCGTCTCGTAGCATACATAGAAAGTGTATGGGTATATTGGCAGAGTCCGTCTCGTAGCATACATAGTAAGTACAATGAAAGACTGCATCCTATACCAATCGTCCGACCTATAGTGCCAAACACGGCGGTAGCCTGCAGAATGCGACCAAACAAAAATTTTTAGGTGTTATGGTTAGGATAGGGTATTATATCTATAACGAGGAGTCAGACGACGGGCGTCACACCTACCTACGTGGCCATAGTTGACCAGCCGTCGCGTGCTTCACGATGCAGACCATCTATGGTGAGCTGCTACCAGCAAAGACAATTTACTCAGGGATGGTACCTATTTTCACTACCAACTGTACTATAAGTGCAGATCCCAGTGAGAGTGAGGCATATGCCTAGAACCCTGACCTAGTTGATGCAACCTAACTTGTAACTCTAATATAATAACCTACAACCGTCCAACCTAATTTATTTTTTACCTACCAAACATAACCCGTGTTGTTCATGTATGTACATAGTATATCGTGTGGTAAAGTTGATAAAGTTGGGGCGGGGCTGATGCAGGAAAGCCTGGGCGCCGCGGAGCGCGCGTGGCACGAGTACACGCGCTGCAAGGAGAGCCTGGTGCTGCGGCTGTTCTACGGACAGATGCGATCAACTGTGCGCTGCGTGCGCTGCGGCGAGCGCAGCGCCACCTACGACTCCTTCTCCAACCTGTCGCTCGAGCTGCCCGCCGCCGCCGCGCGCTGCACTCTGCAGGTACACACACACACACGTACATACATGTGCACACACACGCGTACATACATGTACACACACACGTACATTCATGTACACACACGCGTACATACATGTACACACACACGTACATTCATGTACACACACACGTACATACATGTACACACATACACGTACATACATGTACACACACACGTACATACATGTACACACACGTACATACATGTACACACACACGTACATACATGTACACACATACACGTACATACATGTACACACACGTACATACATGTACACACACGTACATACATGTACACACACGTACATACATGTACACACACACGTACATACATGTACACACACACACACACACACGTACATACATGTACACACACACACGTACATACATGTACACACACACACGTACATACATGCACACACACACACACACATCCACACACACACACACACACACACACACACACACACACACACACACACACACACACACACACACACACACACACACACACACACACACACACACACACACACACACATTGTAGCATAGGATTATTTTATTTTAGTACTTGCAACTTTGAATCTATCCGTCAAGTGTTAAAACAGTCAGTGTCAGACTTGATTCACGTTACAATACAAACAATATAAATATTTTTAAGGACTGAAAAAAACTGCTGTCCCTGTTTTAGTTTAGTTAAACTATTATGTATCCTAAACATCTGGGACAAACGCATACACATTAACTAATACTCTTATAATACACATGAAATTATGAATATCTTCTACATTGTGTCATTATACTAAAAACGAGTGACAAAATCAACTTTTTTAAACCTTCATAACTTTTGTCCATTACTGCGTAAGCTATATATATGCACTTTTCTAATTCTTTGTATAGAAGATCTGTACTTTCAAATGACATATTTCATCTGAGGCACAGGCTCATACAATTTTACTAAAAATTAGGTAACAATGCGAAGCGAAATATCATTTTGCTTGAAGTACCAAAAAACGTCCTCCTTATAAACGCACCACCAACTAAATGACTAACACTAGGAAATGGGAAGCTCTGACATCGGTCGTTTAATGATATTCGAGCCCTCAGTTTCGTATCTAGCTCCTGAGTTAAAACTTGCAGTACTAATACATCCCTAAATTGCAACTACCACCATCTTACCTATTCTGCCGCCTGATAGCAGTACCGTCCATTGCTATTCCGGTCTGAAGGATATAGAGATTACAGACTGTTAGGCATTCCAACACTCTCAGAGGTTACAACACATCTGTAGTCTTCTTTGTCTGAAGTTGGTACACTGAAAGTTCGTTTGTCATTCTATGGACAAATACTCATTAAGTCTTGTGATGTCACAGTCTCATAGTCGCTTTGATTTAATGTGATAGAGACGGCACGAGACTTAACGGCGTCTCAAAATTGAGCCGCGTTTTAGTATTTTGGCATTATCTTATGAAAAAAACTTACTGCTTGTCAACTTTGTGACTTTATTACCATTTAAAATTTTAAAGTATATTAATACCACTTCAATTCTATCTAGGATACTATATAATTATACCACCAAATTTTTCATTGTAGATCCATCTAATTTGACGACACCTACATAATTTTAAACAAGTCGTTACCAAAAAGCATATGTAACACGTTAATTATACAATATTAAAGCGTGTTACACACGCCTATATACTTCTACCAAAACACACACGCACACAAACATACACACGTGTATATATTTAAATTATCTTTGATTAGCTTTAATTTAAGATTAAGTAAAGGTTACATTACATTCAATTGTTTATCATATTTGTTTCTCAATAGCTCTTTTTCATGAATTAGTGGTGAAATAACACCAGAGAGTACTTTAATATACTCGTGTTGAGGTGTTTCACTCTTACCCTAGTGCTTAACATTTATTGAGAACTTAAAATTTAATTATACAGGTATTTATGTAAATATTATTTTATTAGCTATTTATGCAAATGTATGTATATTATTATTGTAATAAGTGTAAATTGATACCGTAGTTCTCTTTTTCTAATAAATAAATAAATGAAATATTACCATTTATCATACAATTTTTTTACCAGGACTGCCTAAACCTTTACCTCAACGGCGAAACGATACCAGGCTGGAACTGTCCAAAATGCAAGGAGAAGAGAGACGCTGTCAAGAAGCTCGACATCTCCCGTCTCCCGCCGGTCCTTGTGATCCACTTCAAGCGGTTCTACGTAGACCCCAAGGAGTACATGAGCAACACGTACAGGAAAAAGCAGACGTACATCGACTTCCCTCTGGAAAATCTGGACATGAGCCAGTTCTCGCTGCACTGCCCCGGGAACCCCATGTACAATCTGTACGCCGTCTCCAATCACTACGGATCGATGGAGGGCGGACATTACACTGCGTATTGCAAATCTAGTGTTTATGGCAAGTGAGTATGAGCTTTATCGCTTGGACTCTATACATGGTAGAACCATGCTGCACCTATATTATAGTTGTAACACGAATGGGTCGACTCCACCGGGGTAGCACCAGCTCTCACAAAATAGCAGCTTATGGCTGCTGTATTTTGGATGGTGAGTGAAGAGAACCGGAGACACTTTTTACTGCTAACGATGCCTTCGATCTTAGTCCTCAGGGCTGACAACGCATCTGCATTTTGATTTGTAATCGAGGATAGATGTAGATGTCTATGGGCCTCAGCAACCACTTATCATCAGGTGGACTGTGTGCCTGTTTGTCAGCCTTATCCTATAAAAAACAGACAGACGGACAGACAGACAGATAGCCAGACAAAAACTTTAAAAATTGCATTTTGATTCTTAATCTATACTAATATAATAAAGCGGAAGAGTTTTTTTGTTTGTTTAAACGCGCTAATCTATGGAACTACCAGTCCGATTTGAAAAATTCTTTTTGTATATTATAGCCATATTCATGTGGAATAGTATAGGCTATCTAGCATTAAGCTATATCACTCAGCTAGCCTTAAATATGAATATTTGTTAAGCAAGTCAGAAGAAAAAGCACTGCCGAAATGATTTATCCGCGTACGCTGGTGTTATCGTTAGAGATACGTAAATACAATGTTCTAGAAAAATATAGATCTTTACTCCATCTAAAAAAAAGTCCGCGATACCATATGTCTATTTCTTATACATAAGCCATAATTAGGTATTTTGTGACAAAAAAATATTGAAAATTTAAAAGTGATTTATGAGCGTTATTATTAGGCATGGCCTATTTATTCTAACGAACGAAAGTTACTTCATCATCAAGACAATTTTATGAAGATAAACTTTTTTCTTTATACCATGTTATTTGGACGCATAGTTTAAGAGATAATGTAAAATTAAAATAATTCAATACTTGGCTGGGCGCGCGAACAACGCTTAAACCCTAGCCGCCCGGTGAGAACTGCGCAACCGGGAAGGGATGGGAAAGTGGATAAAACTTATTAACAGTGGTAGAGCCACGCGGCAGCTTTTGCTGCCGCACGGATGGGCCGGCTCGAACCGGGGTAGTACCACGACCTCACAGAAAACCAGCGTGAAGTAGAGGTTTACCTCTGCTTTTCGCTTGGTGAGTGCAGGTGGCCGGAGGCCCTTTTTACTGGAAATGAGGCATTCCATCTTAATCCTCACGGGTGACAACGCATCTACATTTTGATTTGTAATAGAGGATAGATGTAAATGTCTATGGGCCGCAGCAACCACTTATCACCAGGTGGACTGTGTGCTCGTTTGTCACCCTTATCTTATAAAAAAAACTTAACTTCGCTCTACAACATATATAATATGCCGACAGATAAAAGTACTCCATTAATTATGCCAATTTTTCCATCTATTGCTATCAAATAAAATATTTAATTGCAATTATAAAATGCTTGAACTAGGTCATGTCGCGCACCACCGACATGTGATGACGCGGGTGAAACCGCGGGCCACAGCTAGTTGAGGATAAATGGATCTGGGCTAAATATTTTCCAATCAACAAATTTCGTCCCTTACTGCTCGTAGATCACACATGCATAATGACAACAAACACTGTATACTGTTTTCTGTCTCATTCTCTCTCAAGCTAAAACCTATAGATGTATACGTTTGTCTCCTTTTAGTTTCGCTTTTTCGTATCATCTACTTGCAATTTACAACTATTCGAAAGTTTATATTAATATTCTGTTTTAATTTCCATCGCCACAGGTGGTACAAATTCGACGACCATGTAGTTACCGAGATCCCGGCCACGGAAGTCAAATCAAGCGCCGCCTACATCCTGTTCTACACGTCGTGCGGCAGGTCGTGATGATGGCAATGGTCAGTGGCCACATTTGTAGCGACAATTTGAACAGTCAAACAAACAAGTAAGCGCCGCTCGATTGACATTATTTCTGTTAGGGTCTGGTACGAAAATGATGGAAGAATTCGTTGTTACTTTTATAATTCTTTCATAATCAGTCAATGTAATTTTTTTTTTATAGATACGCCCACATAACCACCGAAAGAAATGATCCGAACTCGGCCGTCCCAGCGGCAGCACACATGCACATTTATTGTTTACTTACATTTCACTATATTCTTTCTCGCTCTTCGTGTTCTTATCGCACTAGTTATGGACCGTCTATAGTTGTCCTTTTCTTTAAGCTTACCTAATCATCGCGTCATATTTGCTAGCCAAGGGCCGGAGTAGCTAAATGACCACTTTCCGACGCTTCAGTTTTGCCGTCCTAGTAACGTATTGCTGGTGGCTTCTGAGTCGAATATCTGTATAGTGGTGTACGGACACACGCAATCACTACAGAACGTAGACGTGCGTATGAGCAGAGACAAGCACGGTTAGCTGGGCAAGCTTTGTAAAACTTTTGATGTGTTAGTTAACATTTGACAGATTTTAATTTTAGACTTATAGAATAATAGTCTTATAATTTCTACCACTTTTGTTCTTCTGAAGATTATATAATATTCTAACCGTGGGCTTACCATAGACAGTCATTTTTTTCTTTCTTTTTTTTTAATAGAATATAACAAATGAACACAGTCCACCTGATGGTAAGTGGATACTGTGGTGACAAACGAGCGCACAGTCTACCTGATAGTAAGTGGATGCTGTGGCCCATAGACAACTACATTTATCCTCGTTAATTAATCAAAATGCAGATGCGTTTTTGTCACCCCTGAAGACTAAGCTGGAATGCCTCGTTTCCCAGTAAGAAGGGTCTCCGGTTCTCTACACTCACCATACCTAATACAGTAATATTAAGCTGCTATTCTGTGAGAGCGTTCTATGTGAACCTTTTTTGGTCGAGCCGACCCATTAGTGCTATCATCATAATATAGCTGCAGTGTGGCTCTACCACGTATGAAATTAAATTCAATTTGAACTCTCAAACAGAAGCTACGCGATCTAACCACTTACCGAAACCCGCGCAAGATCGCATCAGATCGCGAAGAGTAGCTGACCAGAAAAAGCAGCAGAGACAAGGAGACTATTAACCAATCAGTGCAACCAACTTGTGGATATAAAGGATCTTATATAATAGTTTTGAAGCTGCCACAGCTAATCTTTCCTACTTCTAGTAACGTTTTCTATGTAAATAATGTCAATATACATATGTCTTTATAGATTGTTATAACACAACATTAAAAATATGATACCCAAACTTGTAGAATCTTGTTTTACAATTGGCTTCGAATTTGTATGCAGTATGTGATATTTTTTTATTAAAACTTATAAGCGTTTAATTAATTTAACAATATAAAATAACAGACAAATATTCATCTACCCACATGTTGTTTTATTGAATTTAATACACATTCCAAAATGCAGAGCATGTATGAATAGTCTTTAACACACTTTCGAATATTTTGTTTGCTCCCTTAAAAAGGACTTTTATCTTCAATAAATAAGTCTGGGGTTACTTTGCGATGTTATATTCACTTAATGGCCGTCGCAGACTAACAACCTAACACCTACTTTGTGTTGGCATTGAAATGTTAACTTTATTTTGTGCGCTATAAAGGTTGTTTTTCTTTATGAATATAAATGTAGTTTAAAACGTGTGGAACATTATATTTTTGCTTAAAGATAGTTTAGAAAAATGATCTGTGTTTGACACAATATAAAGTTGACATTTCTTTGTAGGTTAAGTTGCTGGTGTTGGTTGGTGTTGAGTTGTAGCAGTGTGCAACTGACTGCCTTGAAGCCCGCTTTTCACTGTGAGATATAATACAATATATATTACATCTCGAGATATAAATTAATATCGCTCACCATACTTTTAAATGGAACCGTTTACACTGACTTATAATACATGTTATCTCAAACTATAAATATTTTTTCGATCGACCGAGCGATATTTTCATATTATATTTCGCCCCCTGTACCCCGCACACCGTTTCGCGCTACCGCAGAACCGCGGGCGGGGTACAGGGGGTAAAATCCAATGACGAACGCACACTGGTTAAAATATATATCTCACAGTGTGAAAGCCAATCGCGGGATATAATATATATTATATCCCATAGTGAAAAGTCAGCCTAACTCTATACATTTGATGTATTTTTATAAAGTAGATACAATGTAAAACCTCATCTAGAATAATACCATTACAGCTGTACAAATATGCTTTTATGTTATAATTACTTATTGTAATTAATTTATTATCTTTTTAGAATTTAGTGACTTTAGATTTTCTGTGGGTATGATGAAAGACTGAGTAGCGATGGATGGTATTGCCATTTTAAATATATTTCCGATTGTTGAAAGTTGATACAGCTTATACCTAATTTATTTGTTGTAAGAAACATACTTCCAATTAAATTGTAAAGCTAATTGATGTAACTTTTATCGAATAACTGTGCCTAAACAAGTATATTTTAGAAGACAATGGTACCAAAGGTCCACTGCGGATTTGATTAATAGCTAAAACGGAGATATGCTGTTTCTTTTAAATACTAAATATAATATATATTATATAAATAATAATTTAAATAATTCGCTGTTTACTTATAGTGATGTACAAACAAATAGTAAAAAAAATTATTATAATATATAATAGGCTACCATTTGGATCTTTCTAATTTAAATTAATTTCTTTTGGAATTAATTTAATCACAAAACTACTTATCTATGTAAGAAAGAGACGGCATGAATCCTTAAATTCACTCAGTGGTCACCTCCAGAAGTCTTCAGCAACACGAGGCAGTCGTCGGATTCCTTTGCCTTCAGTGTATCGTCATGAAAAGAATTTAACTTGTATTGTTATGGTAAAAAACTGTTAATTCATTTGTTACTGTTGTATGGACTGTGTACATAGTTAATACTTAAAGAACTAATATGTGAAAATCTTGTATAATGTGAATTTATTAAATTCTTTGTTAATATATACATCTGGTTTTATTTGTCATAATATTTATTAAATTTGGTGTTGTACAAATGGCCGTTTATCAGTTTTATATTATACGGTTTGCGGTGTAGTGGCGGTGTAAGAATATCCACTACCCCATATCGTCTCTTGGGCGGATGAGGCGACAGAGGGAATCTGACCAGAAGATGGGCACCAGCGTTTTACTAATAACGACTAAAAATAAAAATAAAACTGTGGTTGCTAATCCCCTATCCAAGCATGGCTGCTATGGCGAATATTCCACCTGAGGCAATATACGTGCGAGGTCTGTGTTCAGCAGTGGGCTTCTGTATCGGTAAAGGTAACGGTTTGTACGTGGTAGTGCCATGCTGCAGCTGTATTATTAGTATAGTTGTAGCACGAATGGGTCGGCTCGACCGGGGAAGGCCCACGCTCTCACAGAATACCAGCGTAAAATAGCAGCTTAAAAGTACTGTGTTTCGTATGGTGAGTGTAGAGAAACGGAGACCCTTTTTACTGCAAACGAGGCATTCCATTTTAGTCCTCACGGGTGACAACGCATCTGCATTTTGATTCGCAAACGAGGATAGATGTAGATTTCTATGGGCCACAGCAATCACTTATCACCAGGTGGACTGTGTGCTCGTTTGTCACCCTATCCTATAAAAAAAAATTATAAAAGGATTTAATACTTTTATTATCTAGTAGCAACCCTCTTGTCACTGGCACCCATGAAATTGTCAATTGCAATTTTAAGTGCTGATTTTTTATATTCTCAGCTATGAAGAAAAAAATTATGACAATCTAAAGGAAAACCTGCGTGTCTAGGGAACAAAAACTATTTCGAAGACATGGAGAAAGTCCGCCAATACGCACCGGTGCCTACTAGCAGTGAGACGTATATACATGTACTACGCTAAACTACGTCCAATTTATTTTTACGTTAGTTATTTCAGGACAGAACCGTGCTAGCTCAAGGGCACTCACTGTGAACTTCACCACGCGAGCAAACCCAGGTTTGATTGCTGCCGGCACAAATGAAATTTTGAAATGCGAGGAAGCCTGCAAGTCTGAAATATTTAAAAAAAATCGTAGACACGTTAATCTGTCAACACGTTTTGAGGCAGCGCGCATTTCTTTGCGCCAAAACCTCGGAGCCCCCGCCCAGCAGCAGGAGTGGGACTTTAGCCTGTAACTTTACTAATTTCAAGATCTTTATGTACATGTATCTTTCAAAATTCGATATATAATTACTTATGTGTATAAAAGTATGGTTGTATAAAAGGTAATAAGACATCAGTTTTATCTATTTTATTATCTTTTTAAAAGTAACAATAACAACTGTAAACATAATTTTCAAAGCAAATTTTGATTTTTTTTTCTATAAACAACTTGCACTGAAAATGTCTGAAGGTCAGTCATAAAGTAAATGGTTTTGAAGGTCAATATAAAGTAACTTGTATGATAGTAACAATCCAGTCTTTCAACACTGGTTATTAAGGGTTAATTACAGGTTAAATTCAAGGTTCAGCTAGACCAGGGATCATAAATAAGTCACTGATGAAAATTACATTAATCATTCCAAAATCTCAACATTCTGCAATGTTAATGCTTCTACATCGCCTTAAGATTCTATGAACCCATAATTTTTTCTCCTATGTGCATCAACCAAATAATAATAAGAAGCTAGTGTTCTTTTTCATTTAGCATCCCCATTCATCAACATATTCATGTCTATCATGATGTCATCCTCATCTTCGTCCTCCTCTAAACTGTCTTGATTACTTCCTGCAAATGTAATTATTGCAAAGTTAGTTTTTATCAAGCCTAAAAAGGAGATTATTTTAATTTGCATCGGCCAATAAATCCCGAGGGGTGTCGTACTCGTGTCGACAAAGGGAAACAAAACAGGAGATGGGCAGCAGCGTCTTCCTATTAACGTCTAAAAATAAAAAAGCTTCAGTTGCCAACAAAGGATGACGGTTTTTTTGTTTTGAATCGATCTTCTGGATCGTAATGGATCGTAACCTCGTGAATTGATTTAATCATATTGTAGTGCATCGATCTTATTCGATCTCGGAAAATCGTATCGTAATTTTATAAAAATAAAGGCACAGCATGCATGCAAAATTCGATATATAAGAAAATTATTTATTTTAACAAAATTTATTTTACTAAATTATTTATTTTAACAATGCCTATTATGGTATCCTGTGAGTTTTTCCAAATTATTATTTTTGAAATGTATATTCCAGCTATCTACATTTAAACTCTACAATAATATTAATTTTGACAGATGCACTGGATCCAGCCTATTACGGCTATCTTCTGTTAATGTATTTCCAACTGGGGAAAACAGCTGTTCTGAAGGGACCTATGTTGCAACAATTGCCAGATACTTCAATGGCAAACAGTTGATTTGGTTGGCGGGGCCATATTACAAAGTATTTTAAAATAATAGTTTACACTCACAGAACAGCTCAACTTTTCAATCGCAATAACACAAAGAATAAAAGATCACTAAGATAGGTCCTTCATATTTCGTACATTACCTCTTTGATGTAGGTAGAAGTAGGTAATCTTACTTTGTTTTAGTTATTCTGTTCTCTCCCCTCCAGTATGATAAGTATGCAAAAAACAGTTCATACGTTAGTACGTTATGGTTCAGTTGATGTTTAGGTTTTAGTTTTTGATACGATTTTTTTCATACGATCTTATAGGCATACGATTCGATCTGGATGAAGATCGCATTGCCTTGAATTGATTCAAAAATCGGTAGATCGTATGGCCGTGAATCGATCTTCCAGAAAATCGATTCAGATCGGGCATCCCTATTGCCAACCTCCTTACCAAGCGTGGCAACTGTAGCAAATATTTCCCCTATGAGGCAATCTATGAGGGAAGCCTTTGTTCAGCAGTGGACTTTAATAAGCTGTAACAGTTATAGATCACTTTCTCAAGAGACATTAAGATTCCGTGTTTCAAGAAAAGGCACAGTTGAACAAAGGACTCTTCAAAAGATAGGCACAGCATATGGTCTTCAGCCACCTGCATGTTATCAACTAAATTTCATCTAGTCACTGTAACTGAAGATACTTTAATTGTTAGTACAGTGCAACCTTGATGTAATGAAACTGAAGGAAATTAGAAAATATTCGTCATACCAAGTAATTCGTTATAATGAGGTTGTTATATAGGGATTACCTTTAACAAGGTAAGAAAACTTCTTTATTAACCTCAACATTACATAATATGTAAATACTTATCTGTTACCCTGTTAAAGCGGATAATTTCCACTAATAAATGAAAATACAGTATTTTTAGTGGCGTCGCTAGGCGTGAGTGAAGTGGACCCTCGCTCACGGCTTCGCGAGGCCCCTTAAAATGCGATGCCCCCAAACTTCACCAAGATGACTAATTCATTTGATCACTTTACGCTCGAAAAAGAATGTCACAAATTTAAAAGCATGTTTGTTTGGGGCCTCGGAGAAGGGCCTCGGAGAAAGCCCTCTTTTAAGTGCTATGAGGTCGTTGTAACTACCTTCAAAGGCTGCGACCGTTAGGTTGATGGAATACGAGAGTTGTCAGGAATTAGCCATGAGTAGGTAAGTCATGTCAAAGCATGTTTGATGGGATACATCTATCGCGTAGATCTAAGGAACGAAAAAAAGGGAACTTGCTGATGCGACACTTCGCCCACGTCTATATTAGTCCACGCTACACCTCTGCAATAAACAGTAAACAATATTCCCATTTATCATACTTAGTCTTCATTTTGTTTCTCTTGGTTAGAGAAAAAGTTATAAATTGTGGTTTTAACATGTCTGAACCTGTCAACACATCATTTATTTACACGGAATAATTAATAGGATATGTTATGTCAAGGCTCTATGTTTAAAAATTCGTTAAATTAAGGTAAATAATACCTTTTATTTATATCCTGCCATGATAAAAATTTCGTTATAAAGAGGTTTTTGATAAATGTATTTATAATATAGAGGTATATTTTACATTAGCTCTTACGGACAGTTCTAGGGGATTTCGAAAAATTCGTTAAATTGAGGAATTAATTATATTGAGGCTCGTTATATCAAGGTTACACTGCAGATATTTAGATAACGGCTTTAGGGAATCCAACACCCCATATTGTCCCATGTTGTCTCAGAGCCAACAACCGAAATAAAAATAAATAATTCTAACCGAAATACATAAGACGCAAGATGTCTAGTACTGCAATTGTTAATTCATCTACAAAGCATGATGTTTAAGGCAAATTCTACAACTGAAGAACAGTGTCAAACAGTGGATGTTAACAGGCTGATGCTGATGAAAACATTAACACTTCAATCCCTAATTAAATTATGAATGAAAAAGCTAAATTTAGTTTTGCAAGTTCCTTTTCTATGCAACTTTTATCAAGTTGGCTATGCTTAGACAAAAACAACCATCACATTACATACTAGATTGTTTACAGTCTAAATCTTGTTTTTTTTTTTTTTAATTAGTAATTAGTAGTTTAGGTTAGTAATGAGTTGCAGCGCTAAGGGCCACAGGCTTAAATCACACAAAAGTATTGATCTACAAAATTGTTCCAGCTCTGGATGTTTGTCCATGTGAAATTTATATACAGGAGACAATCAAAACTTAGTGAGGAATTAACTTTTTAAAAATACCAAGGGCCATATAAAAAAAAACTTTTTAAAAAAAAATATAACAGATAGTTAAATTTAAAAAAGTAAAGATCATTAATTTCAAAGTGCTAAAAAATGTTTAATTTTTGTTTACATATAGATAAGATGAAGGACTATATATATTTTGAGTTAGTACTATTGTCATCAAAAATAAAAATTAAAAATTTCATCAAACAAATACATACCAAATATACAGTCAGATATCATCAGATCTAGTTCTTGCTCATTACACATGATCTCTTCATCCGTCACACCGAGTCCGGGACCATTATTGTGTTCTGCATTCTTGGGCACACTCTGCATTAAATTGACTGCAGAAGTCGTTGGCATGTCTTCAATTTTCTCTTTAATCTTTTTTGTTTCATCTATATTCTTTGTGTCTCCTTTGAGTTGTGCTTTCAAACTCTCTAAGTGAAGTCTTTCTATCTGTCTAACGAAGAAGATCTAATTAAGGTTTATATATAATAATATTGTAGTATAGCTAGTTAAGTTTCAGGAGTGCTGAAGCTTTTTAAAAACTACAAATATGTCTCGATGACATTTATTACTATTAAATTACAATAATGTATTAAAACTATTTCAGCGCAATACTGACTTCCTTAACTGTGATGACACCACTAAGATATTATACCCAAACTAATAAATAAATTACATTTTACACTTAAAAATGACATTACTATGCAAAATATAAAAAAAAATTAAAACTACATTATTTACATGAAATAAAAAAGCATCTTACTAAATAACTATATCATATTTATGTAATTAAAAAATGTACATATTATACATAAATATCGATGATATTCTGTGTTATAATACTACATTATCAAAACGGAGATTAACTAGCAACCATAGTACATTTAAAATCTACCGCTTGTACACATCCTGTGAACGTTCATTTGCTAGCCGGTTTTGTGCGTCTGAGTAATGACATATTTCTACTACCCGTAAAACGGTAAGGCCCCAGGCGAGGATGGAATTACAGCGGAGCTTCTGAAAGCGGGTGGAAAACCGGTACTTGAAGTCCTTCAGAAGCTCTTTAATTCAGTCCTCCATGGTGGCATTACACCGGAGGCGTGGAGCAGAAGTGCGGTGGTCTTGTTCTTCAAGAAAGGTGACAACGCTCTCTTGAAGAACTACAGACCGATTTCCCTTCTGAGCCGCGTCTACGTGCTGTTTTCGAGAGTCATTACAAATCGTCTCGCGCGCAGACTTGACGACTTCCAGCCTCCCGAACAAGCCGGTTTCCGAAAGGGCTTTAGCACCATAGACCACATACATACCCTTCGGCAAATTGTACAGAAGTCCGAAGAGTACAATTTGCCACTATGTCTGGCGTATGTGGACTATGAGAAAGCCTTTGATTCCGTCGAAATTTGGGCGGTGCTGCAGTCCCTTCAGCGGTGCAAAGTTGACTGTCGGTATATCGAAGTGTTGAAGTGCTTGTACAGTAGGGCTACGATGGCTATCCGAGTACAGAACCAGAGTACGAAACCTATCCAATTGCAGAGAGGTGTAAGACAGGGTGACGTCATATCCCCGAAACTCTTCACCGCTGCATTGGAAGACGTTTTCAAGCTTCTGGACTGGAAAGGATACGGTATCAACATCAATGGCGAGTACATCACTCACCTTCGATTTGCCGACGATATAGTCCTTATGGCAGAATCGCTGGAGGACCTAAGCACTATGCTCAATGACCTCAATAGTGTTTCCCAACGCATAGGTCTTAAGATGAACATGGACAAAACAAAGATCATGTTTAATGTCCATGTCACACCTATGCCGGTAGTTGTTGGGAACACGAAGCTCGAAGTTGTTGACGAGTATGTTTACCTGGGACAAATAGTCCGACTAGGTAAGTCCAACTTCGACCGAGAGGTCAATCGACGGATTCAACTCGGCTGGGCAGCGTTCGGGAAGCTACGACACATCTTCTCGTCAGACATACCTCAAAACCTTAAAACGAAGTTGTACAACCAGTGCGTGTTGCCAGTGATGACTTACGGAACTGAGACGTGGTCCTTCACTGCTGGCCGGATGAGAAAGCTCAAGGTCGCTCAGCGAGCTATGGAGAGGGCTATGCTCGGAGTTTCTCTGTGTGATAAACTTAGGAATGAGGATATCCGCAGTAGAACCAGAGTAACCGACATAGCCCAACGGATTAGTAAGCTGAAGTGGCAGTGGGCCGGCCATATAGCTCGAAGAACCGACAACCGATGGGGAAGAAAGGTTCTCGAGTGGCGGCCTCGTACCGGTAGGCGAAGTGTAGGGCGTCCCCCCACGAGATGGAGTGACGACCTGGTAAGACATGCAGGAGGTCGATGGATGCAGGTGGCTCAGGACCGTGCTTTGTGACATTCTTTGGGGGAGGCCTATGTTCAGCAGTGGACTTGTGAAGGGCTGTAATGATGATGACTACCCGTGAATATACGTATTGTGAGCGTGTGGATCTTCGCTACGATTTTAAAGCATTTTTGAGTATTTACCGTAATATGTAAGAGACAATGTCCGTACGTAGGTTAAGCAGCACCGAGTGCCGTCGATGAAGCATGGTGTACAGATAAACCTAGTTAGGTTTTTGCGAAACCGTGTTTGATTAATTTAAGCTTTTTTTTTATGATGATTTATTAAATAAAAAAAAGCTATATTGAATGCAATGAATGAAAATGAAATGCAACAACTTATATAGCATGGTCTAAACAAGTCTGTTGACTAAAAGTATGATGCCTTAGTTTGACCAGCAATAACTATACAGTAGAGTTAGCTTCTTCTGTAACGTTATACTTCATAACATAATTTTCAGTAATCTAATATTAAAAACTTGATAGGCACAATTCATGATCAACATGTTATTGTAAAATAATGGCTGCTTGCAAATATTGTGTTTATAAGGTCCATCACATACATTCAGAATTCCGAACAGGTCGGCCACACACAAACGGAATCCCAATTTGCCCACAAAATTTTGAGTGGAAAACTACAATATGTGTGACGGGTCATAGATTTTATATGAACTTGCTGTGTTCGGAATTTCGAATCGGAATATCGAAACGGAATTCCGTATGTATGTGGCACGCCTAAGTAATCTAATACCAAAAGCTTAGTCAAGACAATTTGGAATCAACAGGTTGTTATGATGTTACGGCTACTGCCAGACTGTATAACTACCTACATAATATTCAAAACTAACATATCTAGTCTGCTGCTAGTACTATAAGGTGTCAGCCAAAAGTGACAAGTATGGAAAAGATTTCCACCTTGAGAACTCCACATAATTTGTTAATCAGTAAACCGTTATTTTCATTTTTGCATTCAAGTAGAACAAAGATCAACCTATAGATTACCTCATAAGAGGGATGTCAGCCATCAATTTAGCCTTTCCCACAGAATAAGACAGTCATGGGGGAAGACATAGAGGAGGGGGATTTTGCCATAGTTGTTAGTTGCTATGCTTGTCAGGCTGTTTGTCAATAACAGTTTTTTATTATTTTCATCTGTTACCAGAAAGTTGCTGCTGTGCATCTCCAGTTTCAGTTTCACTTTGTCCATTTTATGAAAAACCCATGGGATTGAATAAAACTATTTTTACGGATTTTATCGCGTTTAATTTACTTATTTTATATTCCCGACGTTTCGGTTGCTTTCCAGCAACCGTGGTCACGGGGGACTGAGGTGATTGACGTCCCGATGTCAAAGTTAACCCGGAGTACCTTCAGCTTTTTAATTATTAATTTTGGTCCGATCTACGCAGAATGAACTAACTGTGTCTTGAAGTCTTACAGTGGTATGCTTGGGTTTAGTTTTAATTTTATGAATTACAGGATCCCAAGCAGGTGGTAGTACCCAGCCTCCCTCTCTATTGAAATTAGGATGTTTTTTAATTTCAATAGCCTCACGTATCATCCTTGGCAGGAATCGATGTTCTTTCGCGAGGACTTGTGGTTTATCAAATCTAATGTAATGACGGGGGCCGTCTAGGATATGATCACAAACTGCAGACTTCCCGGAACGTTGGTGCTTCACGTCAGCTATGTGTTCTTTTACGCGGGTTTTTATTGATCGTTTTGTTTGCCCTATATATGAGAGACCACACTCACAATCAAGCTTGTATACTCCTGCATCTTGTAGAGGAATATTGCACTTGACGGATGGTAAGAACTGACTAATCTTCTTCGGCGGCTTGAAGAATGTTCTAATAGAAGCTCGCTTCAAGATGTAGCCAATCTTGTCTGTGACACCTCTGACATATGGTAGTACAGCAGGCACACGCTCGACTGTGGCCGGCTTCACTCGGTCACAGTGACCTGCAGTGGTCTGCAGTTTGTGATCATATCCTAGACGGCCCCCGTCATTACATTAGATTTGATAAACCACAAGTCCTCGCGAAAGAACATCGATTCCTGCCAAGGATGATACGTGAGGCTATTGAAATTAAAAAACATCCTAATTTCAATAGAGAGGGAGGCTGGGTACTACCACCTGCTTGGGATCCTGTAATTCATAAAATTAAAACTAAACCCAAGCATACCACTGTAACAGAAACAGAAACAGAAACTTATTTATTCAATATAGATTATAAATAATACTTATTGAAAGTCATTCTTTTGTTTGATTACCACTGGTTCGGAAAAAACCTCTGTCCTGGGAAGAACCAGCAAGAAACCCAGCGGGACTTTTTTTTTTTAAATAACAGCTTACAATCATGATGTTACACAAATTAACAACACAACAAATTAGAAATAGCTTGGTAGCGATCACCTCATTTCCAGGGGTTATTATCATCCATAAATTCCTTAATATTATAATAACCCTTTTTATACAAACTTAGTTTAATAAAGTTTTTGAACTTTGAACAGGCCAAACTTTGTATATTTTCTGGAATTTTGTTGTAAAAGCGTATACATCGCCCCAAGAATGAATTACTGACTCGATGGAGTCGAGTAACTGGTACTACTAGCTTGTGTCTGTTCCTAGTATTTACAGAATGAATATCACTTATTTTTATAAAACTACTTTTATTTTTGTGTACGTACATTAAATTTTCATAAATGTATTGAGAGGCCAAAGTTAATATATTAATTTCCTTAAATTTTTGTCGCAGCGACTCTTTAGGCTTTAAATCATAAATTGCTCTTATGGCCCTCTTCTGCAAAACAAATATAATTTCTGTGTCAGCTGCGTGTCCCCATAGCAAAATACCATACGACATTATGCTATGGAAGTAGCTGAAGTAAACTAGTCTAGCTGTTTCAACACTGGTTAGACTTCTAATCTTTTTTACAGCATATGCTGCAGAACTAAGTCTGCTTGCTAGTTTTGATATATGGGGGCTCCATTGAAGCTTCGCGTCTAGTGTGATTCCAAGAAAAATGGTGGTATCTACAAGACTCAGTTTCTCCCCATTTAAAATTACATTAGTATTTAATTGTTTGACATTTGGAGTCACGAATTTCATACATTTTGTTTTAGTGCCATTTAAATGCAAATTATTAACATCGAACCAATTTACTAATTTAGATATAGCATTATTTACTTCGTCATATTTTAGTAACTGTCGACTTAATTTGAAAATTAAAGAAGTGTCATCTGCAAATAATACTATATCATGGTTATCCCCTACTATGTAAGGTAAGTCATTAATGTATACAAGAAACAGAAAGGGGCCGAGAATTGAGCCTTGAGGCACGCCCATTTGTACCATCGATCCGGAAGAGCTCATATTGTTAATGACAACTTTTTGCGTTCTCTTACTTAAATATGAAATAATTAATTTAAGGGCATCACTTCTTACACCTTAAGACTTCAAGACACAGTTAGTTTATTCTGCGTAGATCGGACCAAAATTAATAATTAAAAAGCTGAAGGTACTCCGGGTTAACTTTGACATCGGGACGTCAATCACCTCAGTCCCCCGTGACCACGGTTGCTGGAAAGCAACCGAAACGTCGGGAATATAAAATAAGTAAATTAAACGCGATAAAATCCGTAAAAATAGTTTTATTCAATGTGTAGTGTTCGCGTAAATATAAGAAATCATTATGTAACCCATGGGATAATATAGATTAGTGGATTCTCTTATACTGCCAGTGCATAGTAAAACTGCAGTGGATGTACTTTAATTTTTTTAGCTTTTATGGAGATTGTGTACAATTTAATCACTTTATTTCATCCTGTGGGTGTTGTAAATGTCAACTATAGGTTATGCCAAAAATATATTATGGCTTCCAATAGATGACTGTACAAACAGTGAATGGATCAGTGTCAAAAGTACGGTATTCAGTCCGCATGGTAAACCTGAACATGTCAAATCGTCCCTAATGGGAAAGAGGCCCATGTCCAGAATGAACTGAGTTCTGCATTATTAAAATTATTTCTTCATCATCATCATCATCATTACAGCCCTTAACAAGGCCTGAACATGTTGAACAAAGGCAACTCCACGATGCAGGGTCCTGAGCCACCTACATCTATCGACTTCCTGCATGAAATTAGTTGTTACTAATAAAATTTTCAAAATGTATATTAGAAGTCGCAGATTGTTTAAAGGACAGGATCATTCGGAGCCGCCTAACAACACTATTATCGTATTACTATCGTCAATGTTCACACATGCGTATTCTATTGAAGACAGGTACTCTTAGCAAAAGAAACAAGAGCAAACCTGAAGACAATTTCGTTGGTTTCTTATCTTAGCAAGAGCTTCTACAATCCACTTTTGTTCGGCAACTAACTGTGCTTCTTCAATAACACGACTTCCTAACCTATGACATATAGCTTTTTGAGACATCTTCAACTGCTCAAAACATGAGAATAGATTATGATCCACACGTTTTCATAAACTCGTAAATATGTACGTTAATACTTCTTAATAATTGGTTCTTGTAAATGAATAATAATAAATGAAATAAAATTCAATTAACACTGTAAAACCACAGTTCGTTGTCTCAATTATATTTATCACAACACAGTGAATGATTTGTTTCTTTTTTATTATTGTTGTGCAGCAGTGTCACAGAACACTAATACCCTTAGGCGGGAAGAATGTCAACTTCAAACAAAGAAAATGGCACACATAATGCACGCCATCTCTGTCGTGCCCCCTAAAACTTTTTGCGCGGGAATTTTGACACGTGATTTTTTTTAGTTGTCGTCTTGGTTGTTTCGTTTCAAAAATGGCTAAGAATGTAAAATACCATATAGATAGATATAGTTTGTAGTTTTTCGTTTCAATGATATATATTGCTAAATTAAAACGAAAACAAAAGCACAAAGTTATTTGTAAATTATGGTACTTTACATTCATAAACCACTTTTGAAACGATTAGCAATCATTTTAATATAAAAAAGGAACTATTTTTCAAATAAAAGTGGTTTTTGAAATACATAATTTTTATTTACATTACATACTTGTCTACATTGGTACATAGAAAAACCGTTGGTACATTGATGGACGTAAGTGACGGAGTAATTAACTAATTTTTAACATGGCATATGTAACATGACATTTAAGCAAAATGGAAAGTAAAGGTACATTGGTTTTATATAAAAAAGATTAGACAATCTAATATAAACACTTTTTTCTAACAAGAAAACATTATTTACCTTCACATTCTACAAACAAGGCAATAGCTTTGCAATATTATGTCTAAACTCCAATAACCTGATTATATTATAGATGCCACCAATAATATTACATTTGTAGAAATTATTTTCGTTATGTTATTGTTATTGACTGCATTAAAAACTAAGAAGTCAACATTTTCATGTCATTAATTAACACTACCTGCTGCAAATCCATCCACGAAAAACAAAACGGATAAAGATATGTTGATAAAAATGAAATATCATCTGAGAAAAATTAACAGGCTTCAAAAAACTGTAAAGCATCTAAAGAATGAAGCATTTCTCAAAGTATTGAGCAAAAATGATTCCGTAAATGAAATATTAAAATGTAAAATATCCCCCTCTTTTGCAAACTGCTCTTCAAAGAAAAACTGATATCCTGCAGAATAAATAAGATGTTACATAGATATATACGTAATTAACTAATTTTTAACTTTATGCATGTAAACAGTTCTGAACAGCTCTTAACTAAATATCGATTTAATAGTTAAGTAGTTATTATAATTTTTCGATAATACAGGTAGAACCTATTTGCTTGTCATTTTTTTAATAACTAGCTTTACGGCTCTGGGTTCTAGCTTTTCTGAGCCTGGAGTTATAATTATCCTTCATAGTACACTGCTTCACAATATATTGATGCGTAACATTGTGCAGCCCTTGGGAGATTTTGACGGCAACTTAAGCCAGCAGACAGCTGACAGTTGCCAATGGTATCTCAAGGCGCCTAAGCAGACACCTTATCTTGAGAATCACATCGCTATCAGCGCACTTGTTTCACCATTTCCACTAATAGTTCTCATGTGTAGACACTTAATACACAAATTCGCACCACTTTTACGTATCAAAGTCCACTTCAAACCATTATTTAAACAATAATACAAGAGCAGCAAACCTCCGCCGGTCAAATTCCCGCCAAAACTCTTTGCTTGTCGAAACGTATAAACTGGTATAAACTATATTATAGTATGCACAGACCTATGCTCAAAGGCACAGACTAATATGATGATAGCAAGTATAAATCACAGAGATATATACCTATGGAGAGAGCCACTTATAAAAATAATAGTTATAGAAATATCTATAAAATCGACAGACACTTGTCAAAAACAGTTTTGTCTCTTTTTAACAAAACAGTAGGTGCAGTAGAAAAGAGATACAACTACAGTTTGTAAAGTGCTTATTTTGGTAATACTTTCGTTGCGCTAGCACTTCTTACTAGTTTGTGCTTTCGTGTGACGTCATTAGCTCATCCATGCGTGACTGCGCCGCCATGTTAAGCGCCAAGTTTTGTGGTAGATCTGCTGTCAAACTGTCAAAAAGCAGCTTGACATAGTGTGGTACACTCTTATCTATGGTGTCGTATAGAAATTATTTTAATAAATTAATTTTATTCAGAAAATATAATAATAATAATACTTTATAAATACTGGATATCATATTTCATCCACCGTTTCATAATCATGCCAGATTTTCGAATTATAAAGGTACAAAATTAATGTACCTGTGAAAAATAATAATATTTTTCATTTAAAATCTGAATAAAAAAATTATATAATATGATATATATACATTTTATTCTTATATAATTATATATGCAGGACCGAACATGCTTGTATAACTTACCATTTGTGATCAATTATGTGCAGAACGTTCCCATATACCAATTAATAATAAATAAGTATTGATTGATTTTTAAAACAGTTTATTTAATTTTTACTTAACTATTCATTATTATTTTATATTAAAAATACTATAATATGAGATTATAATATGTGATATATCCATCCCATCTCCATACCATTGTTTACTGTACAATATTACTGTCCAGTAAACAAAGGTATTTGGTATACAAGAAAAAATATTAATTTTCCCACTACTCTGTCAATACTCATTTTTATTGTGTGCGTTATAACTTTTTAACTTTGTTCACATTGATATGAAACAAAACGTGTGTGTGTACTTATATACGCACGTAAGAAGTTATACTTCTTTAGCGTAACAAAACAAAAATAACTAAAATAAAACTCCTTTTATACATTCATATATATTTGATAACTACCTCGAATATAGTTATCAGTTCTCACGAAAACTTAACAATTGACAGACAATTACCAACTTAAGTTGTAAAAAATTCACTCTCATCATTTTTCTCAAACGCGCCAAAAGAAGTATAACTTCATAACTTGAGTAAGCACTTAGCACATTCAGAACATTGTTTAAAACAAGTTGCAAGTTAGCTGCCTGCATACATAACTTATTGTTTGACTGTGTACCTAACACAAAAAATCTGTAGCAGAGTATGCATTGCGTAAGTGTACATATGCGGTGAAACCTGGTGAAGCAGTTCAAGCGAAATTAAAGGGATAGCAATCCAAAACTTATTTAACAACCCAACAATATCCATTGCTTCATGTGATTGAAAAATTCGTTTGCTCGACAACAAAAACCACGCAATGGATGTTGTTAAACTGTCAAATTGGTATGGTTTGCCATTTTAGGTGTGTTACGCAATTAGGCTATGGATTTAATTTCTATAATTATATTAAATAAGAACAAACTCATATTGGTAAGAATATCGATATCAACTGCCCATATTGCTGAGTTACAACCCTACCATTAATAGTATAAAAGGAAAACTGTCACAGCTAAGTAGAATTAAGAAGCTAACGAGTAATAGCCGACTAACTTATAAAATGCACTTGGATTTGTAAAAATTTCGTTACCACTGTATCGGAAATGACTTAAAATTAATTGCATTATAAGAAAACAACTTAATTACTTAATATATATATATATATATATATATATATATATATATATATATATATATATATATACACATAATAGATTTACTTTTTCTTTTGCAGGATAGACAGGGAGGATCTTTCTTGCTTACTTAATACTTTTACTTATTTTTTAGTTTATAGTTATTGTAGGCCTCATTCAAAGTATTTATATAATCATATAGCCTCATACAGTTTCATTCGTCACACTCTTGGCTTACGCGTGCGATCTCAGGATAATTTAGGATGTTGTGTTAGTGGTGGTTTACATGAGGGTTCGTTACGGTCATTTATGTATATCTTAGGGTTGCACTGCCGGGAATTGGGGTCAATTATGATCATTTTTGTACTCACTAGGTATGTGAATGCTTTGATGTAACATGTGTGTATGTATGCTCATTATCAAGGAAGCCCTCATATTGTGACGGACAATTACAATACATTGTGCGTGGCCCGACACGCACTTGGGCAGTTATTTTTGTGAAGAAAATTTTACGATATAAAAGGCTGTACAAACTATTTACAAAATTTATTTTAAAAACAGCTTGGAAGCGACCACCTCATTACCAGGGTTTAATATCAACCATGTATTCATTTATATAATAATAACCCTATAATAATACCTACAGTTTTTGTTGAATAAAAAAATATTTAAACTTAGTAATAGAGAGACCTCGTTGCTGTAATAGTGTATAGGTACATTGCCCCATGATTGAATTACTGACTCTGTGGAGTCGAGAAACAGGCACCACTAGCTTGTAAGCACCATAATAATCTGGGCTAACTTGTGCTTGTGCCGAGTGTTTACAAAGTATATATCACTTTTTTACTAAAACTACTATTGTTTTTGTGAACATTTTTCTCTGAGAGACTCGGTTTTGTTTGTAAACGGCCATCTTCTGCAAAATAAAAATAGTTTCTAAATCAGTAGCATTTTCCCATAGCAAAATCCCATAAGACATTATGCTATAGAAATAATTGAAAGAAACTAATCTAGCTGTCTCGACACGACGCTAGTGAGGCCTCTAATCTGTTTTACAACATAAGCTGCAGAGCTTAGTCTGCTTGCTAGTTTAGATATATGGGGGCCCCACTGAAGCTTTGCATCGAGAGTGATGCCAAGAAAAACAGTGGATTTAACAGGACTCAGTTCTTAATTCCCATTTGAAACACATTCGTATTCAGATTATTAACATTCGGTGTTATAAATTTAATACATTTAGTTTTACTGCCGCTTAAATGTAGATTATTAACGATAAACCAATTCGCTAATTTAATTATACGTATTACATTTTTACATTAAAAACTTTGTCCCCTATTTTGCTAACCTTTAAGGTGGAATTTTTTGCGTAAATTGACATATATGGGACCACACATGAAG